TTGAGAAAGCTGCGTGCTGGCACCGACCCGTCTTCGAATCGTGAACTTGGGCGGAGCGAAGCCATCGCCCCGCCCGTCCGTGATCTCGGGCTGTTGGCGCCTTCGGCATCTTCCACACCGCAGGCGCGCCGCAGCCCTGCTCTCTTTGTGCCATGTGTTGCAGCAGCGGGACGCGGTGCGCCTAGAGGACCTGGAGGACCTGGAGGAGGAGGAGGAGAAGGAGGAGGAGGAGGAGGAGGGGGAGGAGGAAGAGGAGAGGAGGAGAGGGAGGAGGAGGAGGAGGAGAGGAGGAGGAGGAGGGAGGAGGAGGAGGAGGAGGAGGAGGAGGAGGAGGAGGAGGAGGAGGAGGAGGATTGGGATTGGCACCTGCGGGGACTCACCCCCCGCGCTCGGTGGGGGGGCGCCAGCCCCCGCACCGACGCCCGCACCGAGGCCAGCACCCCCCAAATCAGCAACGACACCCGCGCGGACTCCAGCACCTACGTCAGCATCGACACCAGCACCGCCCGCACCATCGACGCCAGCACTGACGCCAACATCAACCCCAGCATGAACGCTAACACCGAAGACGGCATTGACTCCAGCACCGGAGCCAGAATCTACGTCACCACCAACGCCAGGATCGACTCCAACATCGACGCCAACACCTGCGCCCGCATCGACACTGGCAGCGCTGCCAGCACCGGCGCCAAAATCGACGCCAGCAAAGCATCAAGCCCCGACACCAACAACGACGCCTGCAGGGACGTCATTTTCTATTCCTGCATCGAGGCCCTCAGCGACGATACAGCACCCTCCAGTATCAACGCCAACATCGACGCCTGCACTGAAACCAGCACGCTCTCCAGCATCGACGCCGACATCGTCGCTGACAGCGACGCCAATATCGACCTCAGCACCGGCGCCAACACGGCCTCCAGAATCGGTGTCAAAGCTCGAGCCCGCAGCGATCCCAACACAGTCAGCACAGATACCAGAACAGCAACCAGCATTGTTGCCAGCACCGACGCCTTCAGCGAAGCCAGCATCGACGCCTGCATCGACCAGAGCACTGACGACAACATTGACGGAAACACCAACGACTCCCCGACTGCGGCTCCCGAGTCTGGCCGCCATGCTGGATTGACGTGCCACGCCGACGCCGGCGTCGACGTTAATATCGGCGCCGCCATCGACGGCACCAGCACAGCCACCAGCACCGACGCCAGCACCGATGCCTGCAACGGTGCCAACACCGACGGCTGCATCGTCTCCAGCACCGATACGGGCACGCACCGCGGCACCGACAACAACGATAACGCATGCAACCGAGCCGCCACGCACCTTCCCGACCAGCGCGGGCCGGTCTGGCCTTGGAGCCCATCCTGACGTTCAGCGTTGCATCATCCGAGTGCGCGGGCCGCCGATTTTCCACTTCGACAATCACGCACTGCACTCGACCTTCAGCCTATTCGGCCCTAGAAGGGCCCGTCGCGTCGCACTATAGGACCGTCCGAGCGCTTCCTCGATTGCGGCTTCGTGTACTACGCCACCGAGGAGGCCGCCAACAGGGCCTGCGATTACCCCCGCACTCGCGGCATGACCGTGGGCAACTCCTTGGTTCAGGCTTCTGCCTCCCACGACCAATACCACAACCAACTGCCCGAGCACCAGTACCGGCAACGCGAGCACGACCGGCAGGACCACAATGACTAGCAGACTTACCACGACCACAACAGCGCAACTAGCACGGCTAGCAAAGACCTGCAGCCCCACGGTCAGCAGCAGCACCACCGTCCACACCACCACGAACACGACTCCGACCAGCACCACAACGCTCATGACCAGCAACACTACAATGACGAACACGACAGCGACCAGCAACACCATAGTGACGAGCATGACGGAACACAGCGACACCACCGTCACCAGCATGACGAAAACCACCAGTGCCACCCTACCAGCATGACAGCAGCCATCACCGCCCCGCTGACCAGCGCACGGACAGCCAGCAGCACCATCGTGACCAACACGACGGCCCACCACCCACCCCAGCATCTAGACCAGCACCGACGCCAGCCTCGACGGCAGCATCGACAGCATCATCAATGTTATCGCCCAAACCTGCACCGACGTCAGCATCGACTACAGCGCTGGCCTTTTGCGCTGG